ATTTTAAAATAGAGTATAATCGGTACTTTCAATAAGTAAATATATATTGAGATTTCAATACCCAGTCTATCATATTCTAATCCTGCAATCATATAACTAGGTAACAATCTCAAAGTAAGCGGTGAACAAAAATTGTACTTAGTTAGTACTCTATTTATTTTTAATAAATTCAATTTAATTTTAAAAATTTTAAAATATAAATTTTAGATAAAAATTTAATAATTAAAAATTTTAATTAAATAAAAATATTTAACATAAATTATATATAGGAAAAAAATTTCAATTGTTATTTATATAGATTATTAAATTTTTATAAAATTCATATTTTAATAATTAAAAAATTAAATTAAATTTATTAAAAATAAACGAAGGGTAAATTTTTTTTTTTCTGATGTTCCAACATAAACCATATATACATAATGAATGTGAAAATGATTCATACACTATTTTTTAAAATAAACAGGAAATATTAAAAAATAAATCATTGTCCTTAAATTTTCCTTAAAATATGAAACATAATTATGCAGGAACAGGTAGCAGATATACCATATCCAAGCTAGCTCCTATAAATATATACTATACTTCGGGGAAATCTGAAAAAGAAAGAAATTAAGAAATGATGGACGATTTCTAAGGGCTATGTTATTGTCACTATTAAAATTATTAATTTAATTAATGAAACGTTGTTATAGGGATACTTTTTTTATATAACATTTTGATACAATTTTTATATATTATTAAATAAATAGATGCATCCAATATTATGGATTTTACATAAATAAAAAAATTAATAATTTAAGTGACACGTCAAATTGTACTAAAATATGATATAAAAAAATTATTTCAAAATTATTTTCTTTAATTAATTTATAATTTTTAATAAATAATTAATTATAATATTTATTAATATTTATTTATAACTAAATTTTGATTTATTAAATAATAAATTTTATTAATTATAAAATTATTTTTAATAATTAAATTAAAATAAAAAATTAACAAATATTAATGATCTTAATAAATTTGCATG